AAACATGTTGCTCTGTGAATTATTTTTATGCTCCAAATAATAGGTGGATTTATTTCATAATTTTCAAAACAGTTTCCATATAAGAGTCTATTATATGCTACCTCTGTGTTCTTAAAATATTGCATTGAGAGAGGAAGTCAAAAAGGTAAAGGAAAACCAGGCATCTTGTATACATGTGTTTGAAACTAGTTTCACCTTAAAATATCTAATGTAAACCATCTCAAAAAGGATTGTAATCAGATAGAATAACAGAAAAGGCTACAAACTTGATTGGAGTAGTTGGGGGTTCTTTTTTAGCTTTTCTTGTCTCCAACCTTGCAAGCTGGTTAGGAGGAGAGCTCTTCCCTGATGAACAAAATTCCTACTATCTCAATAGATCAGGGGCGGGCAATTATTTGGACCTGTGGGCCACATAGGCAGTTCTGCGGAGCTGCCACAGGCTGGTCAGAGCCTTCCCATGTCCCCGCAACAGCCCAGAGTCCATGCACCCTGCAGCTCCTCACCACCAACAGCGCACAGCCCCAGCCCTGACCCTAACCCACCCCATGCTTGCTGCGGACACCCTGGCTGGAGCAGACCAGCAGAACCCATGCGCACAGCCCCAACACTGCCCTCCCCCCGGTGTACCTGGGGCAGGGCTGAGCGCGCAGGTTCCAGCTGGTCCGGAGCTAGTCTGCTCCACCGGACTGAGTCCAGAGTGGGCTCAAGGTGGGCTGGGGTTGAGACTGTGCACGCAGGTCCCTGCCGGTACCACAGGACTGGGGCATCAGCAGCAGCAGCCAGAAGGAGCTTCTGCTGCCGCTTGGGCTGCCTAGAAAGACAGTCTGGCTGCAGAGTCACCCCAGCCCCGCTGCATGCCCAGGGGGCAGTGGGATGTGCTACAGGCCAGATGGTGCCTAGGCCAGATGGTGCCTGGGCCAGGCAGGACTGAGGGACCCTCTGTGGGCTGGATCTGGTCCGCAGGCCATATTTTCCCCACCCCTGTAATAGATTATATATTGTAATAATAGTGAAATGCTGTGTAGTTCTGTCACATGATTAAATTTGCCTAGATAGCCTACAAAAGTTCACTTATACTAGCATGTCAGAGCAGGAACATCAGAAGACCTATATCTCATAAGTTATATAGACAAAAAAAAATGTACTTTAGGAATCAGGAGTGAAATTGGGTTGCTTTTATTACTATTAATATTAAAATAATTATTTTAAACATATTTTACACCAGTTAATTAAAATAGTGTACAGTTCTTTATTATTAACTTTGCTGATCTCTGCCACATCCTTAGAGTGCGGCTGCTTGACCTGTTCCAAGGTGGGGTCCTACACTGCTTGGTTCCTCCAGCACCAGTACTTTTATGATAGGGGTGATAAATACAATCCAAGAGTTTCAGAAGTGACTGCAGAATGTGCCTGCTTTAGTTTTTTGGGAACCAAACCTGACCTACTACATGAAGACCTGTTGTAATGGTCTTGCTGTGTGTTCCCTATCCCACAGGTGGTGAGTGTGTTTGGTAATTTGTGAAAATCCAGGCCTCTTTAAGGAGTCTCTTGGTTGTAACTCATTATCATATCTTTGAAAAATTACCTCTTTATTTCCTGGGGTCAGATTTCTCTGTCTAGAGTACTAACTAAGCATGTGGGGCCGTGTACTAGGGAGTCCCAACACAATTGAAGATGGAATCCTTCCTCTTAAGGTGGGAAACAGCAACAGAGCTATACCCCAGTTCCCTCTTGCTACCTGTGATGTTCCCCAACATCCATGAACATTGATGAGTGGTTCTGTCAGATCTCCCTAATAGGCTGAATGTTCTACACAGAAGTAAGCAAACAGTTACACTACAAGCTGTAGTGCACAAGAGGAAGAGGAAGGAGTGGATGTTACCCTTGGTTCAGTTAGCTATTAGATAAAAGGCCAAAAAGCCCTACTGAAGCCCCCGATCTTTTCAGATGTTCGGTGAGCCGGGTCAGACTAACACAGTGCCTCTTCTGGGCATGCGCTGGGCTCAGTGTGGGGGGGTGTTGAGTTTAAAGCAAAGCACCGTTTGGGATTGTTTTTACATTTGTAAGCAGCTCTTGGTGCCAGCTATTACAACACATACTGGATTTTTTTTTCCTTTCTAACAACATACTGTTTTTTCCTTATTTCTCGTGGTTTAGTAAATACTGTAATAATAAAGTTATTTATATATTTTTTTAATTACTTAGTGAACTTGCCCAATGATTTGAGAATCTGTAATTTTTAAACTCACTTTTAAATTAGTTTCTTAGTTGCATAACTTTGGGTGATTTAAAAGACAAACATGATGCTCATTGCCCTTAGCAAACAGTACTGTGTTTGAAATACATTTTTTTTAATGTTGTCTAGTGACGAATTCTGGAATACTCCTGGCAGCATAGCCAAGGAAGCACTGAACTCATGAGAGGCACAGCCTTCCTGAGAAGCTGGCAAAATCTGGTGGGAATTGCTGAGCTGCATGCTGCTACAGCTAGCATTTGCAGA